TTGTGGGTTTTAAGCCTAATGTGAGTATTTATCTTACGGTTCAGCGCAGGACTGAGGAGCGCTACAGTGTCAGACAGTTCCCTTCGGAAGAGTCCATGATCTAAGATTCTCTCTGTTCCTCGTGTGGATGTTAAACTATAATAATAATCCTTGCATTTGATATAGCGCATTACCACGTCTTCGAGACGTCTCAAAGCGCTTCATGGAATATACCGTACAGTCAATTGACTGCATATTTTGTGGGCAAAATATCTCACGATGATGAAAAGAGAAGGTAGTCAGTCCTAGTATCCTCATCAACAATCCTCCAGGTTACTGTAACTGGCCATTCACTCTCCTGTCTGTGGGATTCTTGCTGTGAACAAAATGGCTGGTGTGTTTGCTAATAAAACACATTTTACAGTTGACAGTCATTAGCTGTAAAGCGCTTTGAGGTGTTCTGACATATAGGTGCTTTTTGAAAAAAACAATGATTGTTATCTTATATTATCAATCAACAACAATAGGCCATGTTACAAATCCGAATCAAAAAGTAATAATGTCTTGTTAGCATGAAAAAAAATCTCACCCCTCTGGTGTATCTTTGCAATGTTAACAGATCAAATAACAGAACAGTTTCGGTTTTACGGATGTTCTGGATGGTAATCACATAATATAAATAATGAAAGAAAGAATTAGAATTTTATCGTGTAATAGTGTTTCAAAGTGCTTTACAGTGATTACTATCAAATACAGTGATTGTTGTCGACAAACGTAGCAATTACTTGTGCGCAGCAAGATCTCACAAGCATCAATGAGTTTTTGGCCAGAACACCAAGATAAGTGAAGTAGTGTAGCTCAGCGGTTAGAGCACTTGCCTCGCAAACTAGAGACCTGGGTTCAATTCCCAGCAAGGCAAAATGTTGGGCAAGTTTCCTTACTCCACACGCCTCTGTTTACCAAGGAGTAAGTAGGATCCCGGGTGTTAGTCGATTGACTGATCGCTTTTCAGGGGGTAATAATTCCTTCATAAAAAGAATTGCTGCAATTGGCTGCTGCGTTTCACCCACAAAATATACAGTCAATTCACTTTACAGTATATTCTGTGATGCACTTTGAGACGTCTAGAAGACGTGACAAGGCGCTATATCAAATGCAAGGATTATTATTAATATTATAAATTCCCTTCCTAATATAAATCTTGTAGGTGTCCTCAGTTATTAGTTTTGACACTTCCATAGCTTTGACTTATTGAAAAACTGTACGACAGGCCTATTGGGGTATGGTGTTAGTTGTGTCATCTGTACTTATAAAGTACATAATTAAAGTACAGTGACAAATCAGATGTGTTAAAGACATAGCCAATTTCCAATATTGTAAAAACTGGTCTTGCAATGATCATTTTAACAGTACCCCTTAAAAGCACCACGAATTTAGGATTTGAATATTACTGGCCGACTGCAAATAGTGCAATAAACATTTTATCTGAGTACTGTGTATCTATACTAATAAAGACAAAGTGTCTGTGTGTGTGTTGTGTGTCTGTCTGTCTGTCTGTCTGTCTGTCTGTGTGTCCACCAATAACACAATAACCGATTGACATAGAGACATGATTTATACCTCATTGGAAAGATCTTGCATGTGGGTTTTTCGGGGATCTCTTATCGTTGATGAGCTATATTTTAATTAAGCCTCAAAATATGATATTCTGCAACAAAGTAGGGCAGAGGAAAGACACACCCTTCTAAAGAAATACATCTATACTAATATATTCTGCAATAAATACAGCAGTTTTTTCAGGTTGTCATGGGAGCTACAGTCCTCCCAACAGGAGTCCTACCAACAGGAGTCCTACTAATAGGAGTCCTCCAAACCAGGAATCCTCCCACTGGAGTCCTACCACACAAACAGGAGTCCTCGCAAAAGCACATTTTCTAAGGGAAAATCAAGACTTTCAAGGACAGATAAAATGCCAGACAAAAGAGAGAAGGTCGATTAAATGAAACTGAAGAACAGAGAACAGCACAGCTGGACTTCAATGCTGAAAGGACTGCAAGAGCAAGGCAAAATGAGTTGACCACTCAAAGAACAGCACGGCTGGACCTGAATGCTGAAACCACCACAACAACACGGCAAAATGAATTGCAGCTCAAAAAATAGCCCGGCAGGACTTTGATGCAGAAAGGCATGTTTTCATTAGTTTGATGAACAATCACTTAAGTAGCACAAAGTAGTCCACAAATGGGTAGAGTGACAGATATCAGTGGGACAAGCTGCTGAAATGCAGGCTGCTGGTCACTAGTACTGCAGTATCATTTCAGATCACACAGAGGTCAGTTAAAGATTAATCTGAGCAATTGTGTCATTTTTATTTAGCACAGTTTGGCCTGGATAAAGAGGAAATTGTTTTCTTTGGCCTGATGTGCTCTTAAATTTAGCAGATTTCAGAACGGCCTTTAATCTTTATAAAACCAAGAATTCATTTTAAAAAGCTTTCTCTTTCGAGAGGCAGACGTCCTGCGGCTTGATACATCAGGTAGAAATCCCTATGGGAAATCCTGAATGATTGTATACAGTAGGAATTTTACAGTACTGTATTGTCATTGATCTGAGTAGATTGAGGTATTTAGAATGATAAAATTGATTGACAGATTACTTGGCAGATGATTCTTTCCTTTGATAGAGGGATCCATTACGAGGAGGCATTGCCTTACAATCAGAACGAAGATAATGAACACTGAAGCTGGGAAGCATTTCTTCCCACAGAGGGTTATGTTGTGAAGATGTGCAATGCTCTGATCCTTGAAAGCAAGTAGAGTTGGAATCACTAGAGATGTTTAAGAGAGTGATATAGGTATACCACACTTGTGAATAGAGGTATTAAAGGGAGGCCATTATGATTAAAAGATCAGTGAAGATCTAGTAAACTGGTGGAACTTGCTTGATGAGTGGAATGCCCGTCTTCTGTTGCTATGTTACATGCAAAGAATAATCATGCTATTATTGAAATAACACCTAGAATTGTGCCTGGTGCTTGGCAATGACTGATATGCCCAGAGGCATGTGACTAACATGTTTAAACTACAGTCCATCATTTGAATCTAAATATGTCAAAGGGCAATGCAGTAAAATAAGGTGTGCCAGTGGAGATGAAATGACATGGGCTGTGAAAAGCTATGGAAATATTTTCAGTGTAGACATGAGTGTTGACATGACTCACAGGAGACAAGGCATTTATTGTAACCCTTACACTATAAATTTATTTTCACTGGATTTGGAGGAATATAAATATACAAAGATAGATTGAAAATGAAAATTCAGAGCTGAGGCCAACAGGCAAGGAGGGAAGTCAGATTTAAAAATGTCTTGTGCTCGCAAAACCAGAATCCCACAGCAACTTGAGTGAGGTTGAGCTGAGAGTGTTGTTGCAAGCAAAGCTGAATGTGGTGGTTTGGGAGGAGACCAGAATGTAAATTTCAAACTGCATTCCAAACCTTGCTTTATAAATTTAGTCAGTGTTGTAATATCACAGCCTCCAGAGATCTTTAATGCACAGAATTATTTGAAAACATCCAGTTGATATCCGCAAGGACTACAAGGCTTACTGACTACGAGTAAATAGGGTAAACACTTTCTGGGGGGAAAAAATCCATCTGGGTTTAGAATTACTTTTTTTTCTTGACATTTCAGAGGGCGCAAAAATTGGCAAATCGTTGAATTCAGTCTTTGAAGCCTGTTTTTGTTAAGTTTATTTTTTGGTAAGCTTCAAAGACTGAAACATGTTTGACAGTTCATCAAATTCTGGAACGCCCTAAAATCCTAAAAGCATAGAATAAATATAGATCACGTTGGAACTTCTCGTTCCCTGTATTCAGTCAAATATACTTAAAAAATATGTGAGCAATCACATGCATGATTCTATTCCCAGAACCCTTAAATTTACGCCAGAGCTATAATTATCTCAAAGAGCCTGGTGGTGAAGGAAATAACCAAGTACTGTACTATAGTTTATTTTTACCAGAGAAGTCTTTACCATTTCCTCAAACAGTGTGTAACTGTTTTGCAAAGGCATTTCATTTTGCTATATTTGCACTCGGAAGCTTTTGAGCTAAATTAACATGAGTGTAAGCGAATAAAAAAATTAAGTAAAGCTTACCTTTACTTTACCTTCACTGGGTCTCGAAGTCAGGCATAAAGTTGACATAGATTGAAATGGGTTTTTATAGTAGCTAACAAAGGTGTGGGGTGAATTTTAAGAAATATAACAGATTTAATGTGAGAATTATTACAACAAATCTGTTGCAAAACATCATATTTTGTTGGACTAATTCCTTGTGCTCTTTTCACTGTGCTGAACAAAAAAAAATTCCATTCTATTTTCTAAATCCGTGTCAGAGATTTGAGACGTGGGTTGGCTGAGGATAAAAGATATATTTAATTCATTCCAATATTACTCATTGGATATTTTCCATACAGTACTTTACATGTGTGATTTATCATTTATTTACCTCCTGCAAACACAATCATTTTTATTTCAGAGTAAGACCTATGTTGTGTTCTTACTTTTCCACCATTGCTGTTTATTTGAAGGGTTATTCTATTCCCCAGGTAATCCAACAGGAGAACTGGCCTGTGTACTCGATCAAATTTTTCCTTACAGAGCATTATATCATTGGAAGTAATAATAATAATCATCCTCGCATTTGATATAGCACTTTATTATGTCTTCAAGACGTCTCAAAGCACTTCACAGAATATAATGTAAAGTGAATTGACTGTATATTTTATAAGTATGTATGCAATTGCATGTAATTGCAAAGTTAGTTTGCTTTGGAACATTTCTTTGTTTGTGTGACACATGTTATGGAAATAACTTTGTTTTCACATCTTGTAACTAGTTATAGGTGAAGAAGCATAGACGTTGAGAACACAAGATGTCAGAAATTTTGACTGCGTTGGTTGAGGTCTCGGAAAAATCTGCCAACCTCGCTCGTGGATGCAAACAGGAGGAAGCGCTCTTCCAGCTTTTGGTACAAGAAAAACTAGGGGACGAGAAGAATAAGAAATTTGTCAACGATTTCAAAACGCTGGCTGATGTGTTGGTCCAAGAAGTTATCAAACATGACATGGGAAAGAAAGTAAGTACTGGAGCAGAAACTAAACAACAACAAGAACAAATTACATTTGTATAGGGTCTTTCATGTCGACAGGACGGTCCAAGGTGCTGGACAGTCAGGGATTTGGACCCGAGCAGGGGATTGGTATCAGGGGTAGTGGAGGACAGGGAGGGTTGGGGTAGGAGGGTGGCAGAATGCGCAATCGAATAGGAGGGTCCTGAGATGAGGCATTTTGAAGGAGGCAAGAGAGGGAGAATGATGAAAGGAATGTGCGGATGCAGTTCCGAAGGGTGGGGGCAGAGGAGCAGAAGGCCTGACCGCCGATGGTGTGGCGGGCTGGGCGAGGGACCTGGAGCAGTCCAGAGCCTGCAGAGCTAAACAAAATAAAATGGTTAATTCGAAAGACAACAGCCAACGAACAGTTCATTTTGATTCTGGGCTGATGTGATTTATAACTGTGCTACTGCTCCACCGGAGTCTGTAAATGCAGTGAGTATTTCACTTCTGGCTTATAAAAGCATAGTATTTTGCAGCGTTNAAAAAAACTGTAATAATGAATTGATCGAGTTAGATCTCTCACACTCAGTAACTAATTCCAGGATTGACTAGGAGAAATGTTGCTGTTTGTTACATTTTATACTGGAAAAATTGGGTACTTTGTATACATGGTACCATTATTAGCCTAGTAGTTAAGTGGCTACCCTGCCTCTACCTCTCTTCCATCGCGTAAGAGTACAGCATATGAAATTTACTTGAGAACAGCCTGAAAAGACTTGCTTTGATCCTGAATTGCCTTCCCCTGGCGATATGACTGACATTAGAAGCTCAGTCCAGACTTGTAGTTCACAGATCCTGTTTCTTTTCATTCCTGTGTTGCAGCACTTTAGGCTTGCATTGCAGTGTAGCAGCATGTCAATGGGCTATGTTCTGGATTAACAGATGTACAGAACAGTGACTTCATGTGTGATCACTGTTTCAGATAAGAATCAAGCCATCAGGCTGAAGAAAATGTTATATGTGATAGATTACTGATGGTGCACACTACTGCTTGCATTTCACTCAGCACGTATAACATTCGAACGCCTCAAAGTGCTAAATAGGTAATTGCTGTCAAATGTGGTTACTTTATTTTTATAGACAAGTGGGTTGCTGTAAATATGGGTTTATGCCAAGAGATCTCGTTCTTTCTATTTTGAGTTCTCAGTTTTGGCTAGGCTATCAGAAGGAGCGAGCAAGGACAGATGAGAGAATTCTTCATAACTGGTTTCCAAGTTGCTCTTTGAAATTTAAGTTGCGAATAAAATAACCACATAGAAATTCTAAGAAGTGTACACGTATTGCTTCTAATTACAAATACCTGTGGTTTTTGGGGTTGTACAGAGGCAGATAGTAATTTATTTAGTTTTCTGTGTTCATGAAGGCAAGGGTGCTATTTCTGGGGACAAAGAGGCTTCCTATTTCGGGCAACCATTGTCAGTGTGAACCCTGTGAGGTCAGGTATAGACAACAATAATTTACATTTATATTGTGCCTTTCACATAAGGAGGATGTCTCAAAGCACTTCACACAGCTGAATGTACAGCAGTGTAAGACAGCCAGAGTAAAGCTCCTTCTTTGCTATCAATATGCCTTAGACCCAATCCCAAATCATTCAGCAGGAAAACCAAATGCACGCACTGGTGTTTTCGTTTGAGGATATGCATTGACATTTGGGTCATTGGGTCAAAGCTGTATTTTAATGAAATGTTTCTTTCATGTTTGTAAACTCATTACCTTTAACAATAACTTATACAGTTTCCAGGACTTGAGGATCACATCTTTGGTGAAGAATCAAATGAATTCACCAATAGTCTAGGTGAGTAAAATGAAAATTTCAAATACACAAAATGAGTATCTCAAGTAATGAGTAAAGGTGAGAAATTCCTCTAAGTACAGTGACTTTTGTGAAGTGAGCTTCCATTGGGAAACATGCTATATGATGAGATAAGAAGGGTATGTCAAGGCAACAGTACTGGAACAGTGCCTGACTTCAGCCAACCCAAAAGAACCCGGGAATGATTTACAAGTAGCAACGTAGAAATACAAAATAGATCCAGAACCAATGCATGTGGCAATTACATCAATTAATTCACTAGAAGTACCTTACAACTATAACTGCTTCTTAGCATTCATCATACAGAAGTCGTGGAATCTCTTGCGACCAATGACCAGAAAATAAATTAATGTAATGTTGCATTTATGTTTCATGTTTCATTGGGTGGTGGGTCGCTGTGAAATATACAATATAAATTGGTGTTGAGCCACTGCAAGACTGACTCTTAACAGGCCGTGAGAAGGTGGTTTCAGTGGCATTTTAGTCTTGGGTCTTAAATTCAATGGGGTCAATTTCTGCTGACTACAATTCTCACATTGTCCTCTGGAAGTCCTTGGAAGTCTAATTGAGAGCTTACAAAGTAAGCCAAGAAAATAAGACCGGAGGATATAAATAAAACATTTCAAAAGTACAATTGAACAAGAGTTGTAAAACATGTATTTATGCAAAGTATGTGTGGAATAATCTATCCAGTAAAGTACTGGAGGCAACAAGATAGAGGTTATTGCGAATACAATTAGATCTCATGATGGGGAAAGTTAAGCATGTATTAGTTGTCAGCGTTCTCATATACGGTTCAAGCCCTACATTATGACTGGGCTCAGTCTTTGCTGACACTCCATTGCAGTGCTGGACGAGTACTTTGTTGAGAGCTGCTGTACCAATGAGACCTTAAATCAAGGTCCTGTCTGCCTATTCAGATGGATGTTAAAGATTCCATGACATGATTTGTAAAGAGAAGAGAGTTTCTCCTGATGTCCTAGCCCGGAATCCCCAAAATAAAAAAAGATAATTCCCTTCATGGCTGTTTGTGACACTTTGCCCTGCCCTGCACAAACTGTGCTGTCTGCCTGCAAATACAGAGTTACTACACTGTACACTTAGCCCAGTGACAATTTGGGGCTTGAACCCATGCATGAGAATGCTAGCTAAGACCGCCTTAACTCTCCCATCATGAGCATTGCCTGTGAAGCATTTTGAGATGTTTTGAGATTATAGGTGCTAAAAAATGATTATTATTATTTTATATTTTAATGTTGTAACAACTTTGGTTAATGAATGATCTTTTCTTAAGATCTTATGAAGCAACTTGATCAAAAGCAATCCTATAATGAAATCTGCTCTCAACAAAGTAAAGTCCAGAGGGAGCAATTTCTGTTCAAAGTATGCACACGCACCACCCAAGCTCAGCCTGCTCAAAGAGTGGAAAGGAACTGTTGTAAACTGTGCAACACCTATGAAGCACTTGTTTGTCAGTCTTCGTAATACCCTTAATCTGAGATCTGACTCACACTGCAATGCAAAGGTCGCTTTGTATCTGTGATGATGAATGTACTTCTAGGTAGCTTTATTTCGCATTTTACTATGTAAGCAAAGTAAGGTAGTTATTCAATTAGTTAACGTATTAATGATCATTAACATATTGTTGAAAACAAGTAGATATTGAGCGGTTGTCTGTTGTGACCCCTCCTCTGACTCTGTCACAATAGAATCTGTTTTGCGGATTGCCATTGGAATGCTATTTAAGGGAAGATCACATTAATGCAACCAAAAAATTCAGAGGAAAGGTGGTATCCAATCACCTGCGCTTCCGACACTTTGACCTGTGGGCCAGAAGGTCCAACACATTGGTTCAATTTAATCAATACATCACAAGCCGCAATTTTCAACCCATCATTATCTGGTACCGTCTGTAATTTAGAATTTAGGGTGTGTAGAGCAGCAGATGGTTATAAGGGAGTTATAAGATTATCAAACAGTTGAGATATTTTAAATAACCTACAGTAAAAGATCGTACGTCTTGTCATCCAATTTAAGTTTCTAGAATTTTGAATGAAATTTGACAACGTACATCCACTTTCCAGATTCTCCCTGAATTAAATATAAAATTCAGGAATTAAATATAAAATATAAAATATGCTTCTGCTTTGCATACCGGCACAGACACGATGGGCCGAATGCCCTCCTTCTTTGCTGTATAATCTCATGATTGATTCTATACTGATTGGAAGTTGTGTTTCTTGTGAAGCTCAGGATCATGCCTGTGCTGTTTAATTGCAACATAACTGAAGTCTTACAGAGTCTGGGTCTGTGCCTATTGCTATCTAAAAGGCGTGTTTGTTGGGCCACTGCCAACATTGTCAAAAGATTCCTGCAGTGAAATGTTTCTTTAAAGTTTAAAATATAATGCACAATTTCAATCTGATAGGCACAATTAGCAGCTGGAGAAACTGGCAGTTATAAAGTTTACTCGTTAGATGTAATATTTAATTTAACTTAGAGTCTCTGATCAGGGTAGAATTTGGGTTCAGAGTGCTTGTTGATTTAATATTTACAGATTCTTCATTTAACCTGTTACCAAAGGCTCAGTCAGTTTAGCCAGTAAATGGCTGATCCATTCACATCAGGATACACTCTATTTATGCTAAGTTAACCTTAAGTTTTAAAGCTTCTGTATTGGATATCTGGTAACACCATTCCCCATTTATTCTGTGTGTCAGAAAAGCTTCAACTTCAACTGCCTGGTTTTCTCTGTTGTATCAAGTTGAAACATTATTATTATTATTATAAACATCTCAAAGCGCTTAATGGTAGTAATAATAATAATGATAATAATAATAATCCTTGCATTTGATTCAGTGCCTTATCACGTCTTTGAGACGTCTCAAAGCACTTCACAGAATATACTGTAAAGTGAATTGACTGTATAATTGTGGGCGAAACGTGGCAGCCAATTGGGCACAGCAGATCATTTTCAAATATAGTGACTCTTTTTAGCTGGCAAATGCAGCATCTATTCATTTTATGCATAGCAAAGAAAGGAGGTCAATAACCAATTTATCTGGATTATAGGTCAGTACACTAGAAGAAATTCCCTCTGTAGTTTCATGAGTTCTCTAACAACCACTTAAAGACGCTATGGCACTTCAAAATTTACACGTCATCTATTTTTAACACAAGTGGTCACTGAAGAGGAATTACGAATACAAGTACATACTACCTACAAACTCAGTCACTATTCTTGATAACTATTGCTTTTGAAGCGATTTAAGACATTTCAATGTTAGGCTGCCATATCAAATTAAGGATTATTATTTATTCACGGGAGGAATGTATTTCTACTCTAGTGTATATGCTCCACTGCTGTATCACCTGACTCCAGTGTTTGTAATGTGCAGGCAGAACCTAGGCAGAAAGTAAGGCTGAAAATAATCTAAATAAGGTAGCCAACACTTTCAACTGTCCTCTCTATTAACTATGGGTTTCTATTACATGACAGGAGAGAAGATTAAAGTTAACATCTGTGGGACGGAGAGTGAAACTGCGTTGTTGCTGAGCAAAGTGCTGGATGGTAACATGACAGCAGCTGGAGTGTTGGCTAAGATTGTTCATCACAACGTCTCCATTGTAGATCCAGCGCTGGAGAAAGTGAAGGCAGTGATTCCCCAGGACACAATAGCAATGTGGGTGGACCCCATAGGTACGTCTATGCACACGATGCACATTAACATAGGAGAAAATGTGTCAATAACAGAAAAAGTTCGAGATTAAATTAGATATTATATGTAACTATATAGATAAAAGATCCAAGTGTATGCTAATGGGTCTTCATGCTGAGTTTCCAGTTATCTTCTTGATCAGATGATGCATAGGGTGAAAAGACTACAGATTGATGAACGTTGAGAAAGGAATGTGAAATACTGTATCTGAGATATAACTTTTGTAAAGAATTTGCTGTTATAATAATAATAATAATCCTTGCATTTGATATAGAGCTTTTCACATCTTCTCGACGTCTCAAAGCACTTCACAGAATAGACTGTAAAGTGAATTGACTGAATATTTGTGGGCGAAACGCGGCAGCCAATTGCGCACATCAGTGTCCCACACAGTCGTGGATTGAAAATGATCAATTTTTTTTTTTTTTGGAGGGGTTATTATTCCTCAATCCTTATACCTCAATCTGTTACCTGTTCCTTATAAGTACTTACCTATAAGTGTTCTTACAAAAGTATTCACTCACTAGGTATTAGCTTAAAACAGACACCCACTCTCTTGCTCTCTCTCATCTAAACAATGTACATAAGAGACTTTGAAATGCCACGTTATAATTAATTTACAACATAACCTTTTGGGGAATGAATCATAACCTTTCTTCTTTATCATTTCCAGTTTTCAAAATGCATTTGTTTTAAGAAACATTGCATTTTAAAATTCAATTTTGCCTTTGTAAAGGTTAACAAGAGCTAAAAGGTTTGATTAACTTTATTCAGCTGCCAATTGATGTAGCCCTAACTAGGCTGCGGTTACAAGAACTAGGCTGTGCTTTAACAGTGCGAGTTGCTGTATTGATGTGATCAAGATAAGCAATAGAGCAAACTGCATACTTCTATTTTTACAAAAGTAAGATTATAACAACTTGGAAGTTGCACGAGTAACTTTCAGTAGCCTGGAAATAGTTGTGAATAGAAAGCCAAATATATCTTGCAAACTTTGACTGTTTTAACATGGCTTTGTATTAAGACTAATAAATGGAGTTTGTTTAAGACAAAGTGTTTTTTAAAACAAACCCAATGCACGGCTACCACACAAAAAAAACATCTTCCTGTTAGCCTTTGTGTAAATGGCAACAATACCTCAATCCAATAACCGAGCACTTCCTTTACTATGTCAGCCCCACTCTCGTCTTGTCATTCAGTGAATTCTTAGGAGGAATTAACTGTGCGATACTTTCATAAAAAATGCACAGATATCCATTTTTACCAGTTTCACTACTTCAAATTGTAAGACTATATGGTGTATGTTGCATGGTTGAAAGCGAAGAGAGAACTAGCAGTTTTACAGTGCATTAGCAACATCAAAGCATCTCAAAATGCTTCACAAGTACTAATTATTAGTGGAGTGAATTGTTTTGTAGAATGTAGCAGCAGGCTTTTGCACTAGCAACAACAACAAATTGCATTTATATAGCTTGCTGAGCAAGTGCAAAAGGCTGCTATGACCATAGAGCCATAGAATTATACAGCACAGAAGGAGGCCATTCGGCTCTCTGAAAAGAGCTATCCAAATCAATCCCACTCCCCCGCGCTCTCCCCATAGCCCTGCAAACTTGTCCTCCCCAAATAATTATCTACTTCTCTCTTAAAAGTTGTTATCGAATAAGGCTTCCACCACCCTTTCAGGCAATGCATTCCAGATCCAAACAACTCGCTGTGTGAAAACATTTCTCTTCACCTCCCCTCTGTTTCTTTTAACAACTATTTTAAATCGGTGCCCTCAGGTTACCAACCCACCCGCCAGTGGAAATAGTTTCTCCTTGTTCACCCTATCGAATCCCCTCATAATTTTGAAAACTTCTATTAAGTCTCCTTCTCTACTCCAAGGAGAATAATCCAAGCTTCTCTAGCCTCTCCTGATAACTCAAATCCTGGTACCATCCTGGTAAATCTTCTTTGCACCCTCTCTAATGCCTTGACATTCTTCCTAAAGTGTGGGGCCCAGAACTGAACACAGTTCTCCAGCTGAGGTCTAACTAGTGTTTTGTAAAGGTTCATCATAACTTGCTGACTTTTGTATTCTATGCCCCTATTTATAAAGCCTAGTATCCCATATGCATTTTAACAGCTTTATCTACCTGTTCTGCCACCTTCAAAGATTTACTGATATGATGAACCACAAATATTCGTAAACTGAATGGCCGATTAATCTGAGGATTGTTGGCCAGGACAGACAGAGAAACTCTCTTTTCAAGTAGTGTTATGGGATCTTTAATTTCCATTTCAAACAAGTCTCATACAAAAGACTGAATCTCAGATTTAGGGAGTACTGCTTTAGAGTGTCATTTTAGATTGTGAGGCTTGAACTCTCAATCTTCTGCTTCCAACTGAGACAAAAAGACATTAAAAGATCCATTAATATGTTTTCTTAGAAACATTTTTCTGTGTGATCCATAAACTGCACCACAATCTACCAGCGAAATTATGTTGCAGTGCAGGATTTCTGAGTTTAGACATTTTCCTGCAATAAACAGGATATTTCTCCTAAATCTTGCCCAAACATATTAATTTCTTTCTTTACAAAATTCATTTCTTATCAGTGGAAGCAGGAGCTTAAAGACTGCTCATTTTCCCTGCAGGATAATTTCCAGTTCCTGACTAAATAGACATATCCAGCTTTGGAAATGGCCCCAGTAATAAACATCGACTATATCTGGAAACTCATGTTAACAATTCAAAGGAAGCTGCCCTTCCTTTGTACGCAAGCATTAAACAAAATAGTTTTGCTGTGAATCGCGTGCCTAACTCAACCGTCACCATTATGTAATGCAGATGCTCAAGGACTCAAAAAGCATTGCATTGAAGATAGACTCTGCCTCACATTAAGCAAAATCTCCAAATTAAGTAGTTTTAGATCTTGACATTCATCGTAACATAGGGTGGATATTAAAACCATATCAAGACACAATTAAGAAGGAACAAGCATTCCAGCTTTCAAAAAAAACATAATCAAATCACTGGGTCCAGATGTTTTCATAAGTCATGAGATTTTGAATCGCAATATGACTATGGATTAGATTACTTCATCAAAATCTCTTTAGGATGTCTGTGTTATGTTTCGAATGTTTGTACTGCAAAGCTGAAGGAGAGGCTTCAGTCAATTTGGGATCTAATAATAATAATAATCGTTGTATTTGATATAGTGCTTTATCACGTCTTCGAGACGTCTCAAAGCACTTTACAGAGTATACTGTAAAGTGAATTGACTGTATACTTTGTGGACGAAACGCGGCAGACAAATTGCACACAGCAGTGTCCCACAAAGTCGGGGATTGAGTGACTAAATTCTTCTTTTTTTTTGAAGGGATTATTTCTTCCAGTAAAGCGATCCGCCAATCGACTAACAACCGGGTTCCTACTTACTACTAGGTGAACAGAGGCATGTGGAGTAAGGAAACTTACCTGTTTTGCCCTGCCGGGACTCTAACCCAGGTCCTCTTGCTTGCAAAACGAGTGCTCCACAAGTCCTGTACAAGTTCTGGTTATTTATTGGACCAAAGCCAACAACCAGCAGTTTAATATCCTAATGGTTGTCACATTGTTACTGTAAATTTTATTAAGCAACAGCAAGCATCTTATTGGCAGAGAAAATGTACAATTAATTTATATGCCTTACACTTTAACTGCTGTTTTCTTTTCAGAGAAAGGGAATCAACATCGAAATTACAATATCAACTTCATTTGCAGGAGAATAACTCAAATGTCCTTACAACTGACTGAGATCAGTCCTGATTTCCAATAATAATATAATATAATAATAATCCTTACATTTGTAAAATAGATTGACTGTATATTTTGTGAGCGAAATATGTGTATATTGTTCTTACACAATTGTGCTTGTCTCTCTAGATTCAACATTTCAGTATATAGAAGGACTTGCTGACGAGAAGCCTACAGATGGAATTTATGCCAAGGGTCTTCAATGTGTAACCATTCTGATCGGAGTGTATGACAGAAATACTGGGCTACCCATAATGGGTGTTATTAACCAGCCCTTCATAGCCCGCGATCCAGAAACTCTCAGGTAACAAAGTTTTAAGAACTTTCTCCTTTCCAGGAAACAAATCAGTGAAATTTGTAATCCTAGATTAGTATGTGCTAAGTCAGATACTTCTCAACCTCCCAAAAGGTTCTATGTGAAGCATAATGTCTGCCGTATTTTTGGAGGGGAAAATGCAACATCCAAATTCAATGTATGTAGAAATATCTCAGGAGTTCAGTTGGTTGAGTAGTGCACTGAAGACCAGGAAGTTGTGAAGTGTTGCTGTCAAACTGGTGCAAAGAATTAAAGAAATAGCAAGATCTGTTTATTTCTAAGGTACATGATTAAACTGATCTTTGAAACCACTATTTTAGGGATAAAAATGGTTTCTAAAATATATGATTGGGAACACTCAGCGGTAGCAGAGGGAACAAAGTGATATTCTCACTGGGAATGCAGAGCACAAAGTGTGACGTGCTTCTTGAGAGGAATGTGGGTCAGTTTTGCAATGTGTGAGAAGATGTCAGTTTGTTCTGTGTAGCTAACGACTGTAGATGGTGCTGTTGTAAAATAACCAGTTACCTACTATGTGGCCTCTCTTCAGAGGAGTAATTATGCTAAATAATTCCAATGGCACAGCATTAGCCCTGCACATTTGAGAGGCTCTGTGCTTGGTAGAGAAGTTGGATTTTCTTCAAGTTACATGTAATAATTCGAGCTTTCCTACCGCTTAAACATGCTTAAAGTGGCTGAGGGAAAAAGAGTGAAGGGCCAGGTCAGGCTACAAGCTCTGCAATCCTGCATATTTATACATTTTTGTTAACCAGACCCGTAATGTATTAAACATATTAAATCAATGATCATTTAAAACAGATGAAAATAATAGGCAGATAATTATTGGGTGTTTCCGAGGGCACAATTTCCCTTAGAAACAGGATTGCATTATAAAGAAGCCTGAAATACATCAGGCCGATTCATGGGTTCTAATGCAATCTATTGTCAGAGTTTAGTTCCCATATCAGCATTAAATGCATCGCCAAACAGATTCCTTGTTATAGAATCCTATTAGAACTTGTCACACACTGGACTGGACTCTGTTCTTTCCATGTGCCTCAGACCTTGCTGTCCAGGAGAACAGATGGACATTTGCTTACTGGCCTCTGCTAATGACAGCGTCCCTCACAAGAACAATGTCCTTTGTGAAAGATAGTTTTTCAGAGTTTGTTTTCCAGGATACTGGGAGAAACTCCTTTCTCTTTAGAATTGTGTCATAGGATCTATAATGTCCACCTGAACAGGCAGACAGGGCCTCAATTTACCATCTTATCTGAAGGACATCATCTCTGACAATGCAACACCCCCCGAGGACTGGAACATTGGAGTGGCAGCTTAAATTACATGATTTCAAGTCCTGGTGTAGGACTTGAATCCACAGCCTTCTGACTCAGAGACGAGAGTGCTACCACTGAGCCAAGCAGACTCCCATTAACTGCACTTTGCAACTATCAGATATGCAGAAGTAATAGACATGCAAATATCTGGGGAATTTCAAATTTGAAGATAACAAAATCTGAAAAAACAAGCCTAGCAAGAAAACCACATTCGAAAAAAAAACAGTCTTGTTCACTGGTCTTTTTAGAGTCTTTGACCAGTTGGGATTCGTGAATCATTGTTTTGTCAATCTCTCAATGATTTAACAAAACAGCTTCCAGTTTACATACGCCACATTATCTCCCTGCCTCAATTCCTCAAGGTTATTCTCTTTTATCTATCTTTCAATCCCACCTGGAGGCATATCTCTTCAACCACCCCTATGGTCACCTCCCCTTCTCCCTTGTTCAACGTTAAACCCCACCATGGTGCTGTGTTCTGAGGCACTATCCTGCAGGAAGGGCACAGTATACATGCAAGATTTTGTTGTTAGACCCTGCAATGATATCACCGTCTTGTTTAATGCCTACAAAATTACCAAATCTTCATTTAATACCTTTTTTTTCTCAGATGGAGAGGGCAGTATTTCTGGGGGATCTCTTATGGGGAGACCAAAATATGCTCACTGCATTTTCAGGATCAGAGTGCAAATGCTGCTCTCGGTAATGATCACCTCAGCAACCGGAAGCAGAATGAAGATCACCAAGCAGAAAGCAATGGTCTATCAGTGGTTATGAGCACGAGTGAAAATGAAAACATCAAGCGAGCACTGTCTCTTCAACGGTTGTACTACGCGGCAGGAGCTGGCTACAAGTGCCTATGTGCTGTCCAAGGCTTTGCCAGTCTCTATCTTTTCTCTGAAGATACTACTTTCAAGTGGGACTGCTGTGCACCTCATGCTATACTGAGATCCTTGGGAGGAGGAATGGTAGACTTCAGAGAATGCTTGAAGAGAAAAAAGAATGGCAGCTTGCATGAGCTTCCTGAGTTAGTCTACAATGCCCCAGTGGATAGGGCCAAAGGAGCAGAGAGATGGGCTAATAAGGGAGGTTTGGTGGCATTTCGCTCTCCCAAACACTTAGATACCATTATGAATATAATTTCAGAATTAAACCTCTGATAACGATTACCTCAGGGGTTTTGACTATTTTTCAGTTTCAGTGGAAACAGCGTTTCCAGTAAAGAATGGATAAGTAGGTTGTTAAAAATAATGCATTAAAAAATTACAGTATGTGCCTCAGGTTCTGTCTTCGTATGTTTCAGCTAGCAACTTAACAAAGCAGAGCAACTGGAACTCAGATATTATAGGGTGAGTGCACAGAACCGAAATTCAAAATTCATTTCAGCAAGAAATAATTAATACTAGTGTACAGTGTAGTTTAAGCCTCAAAGCTACAGTTATATTCAAGTGCTGTGCAGCTGCTTAACACTATAAAATTAAGTTTTTGATTTTTTTAAATATGCATATTTTTCATGACAACCCAGGTTTCAGTAACTGCCCCAAACTGATTCTGAATAGAGACTAAGCAATGTAAAGGGCTGGACTGTATTTTGTTTTAATTCACAGTGGTGTCTGGATCAAGTAAGATATTCTAGTTTTTATATTCTCTTTGTTTGCAGGTAGTTGACCTTCTACACCCAAATGTAGGTAAGCTTCATAATAGGTGGGTTTCAATAACGACAGAAGATTCAGACTAATTCAACGGTATCAACCAAATGGGTCAAATTGAATTCCGTCCCCCCCTTTTCTGCTTGTCCTTATAATCTTCTCCCTTCCAGCATCCCCCAGTTCTGACGAAAGGTCATTGACCTGAAATGTTAACTAATTTTCCTCTCTCCATTGATACTGCCTGACCTGCTGAGTGTTCCCAGCGATTTCCGTTTTGGGGGGCAAATTGAATCGTGCCAATGCAGAAAGAATTCCCCGAAAGATTCAGTTAGTAAAGTCTCTACTCAGACTGCAACTGAAGTGTACAAACCTGGAGAGTCTGAGGCTCAATCTCTAGTTCGTGCTAAATCAGATGCAGAGTTTGTGAAATTATGGGGCACACTTCCCAGGGTGGGCATAGGCATGTGCCATGTGCAGTTGCCAACCTCACAACATTCCTGGGTTTAGCTTCCCACCAAAGCCACTCAACCAACAAACAAACTCTGAAAATGCTGTTCAAGCTGACATCATTCACGTCTTATGAAGCAATGCAAATTAGATGAAAGTATTTAAAATAGTTTAATGCAAAAACAAGTCTCCATCCCTGTCTCTGAAAATGGTGATTGAGGTAACATCACTCACACGTTGTGGAACAATGCAAACTAGATGAAGGTATTTAGGATAGTTTAATGCAAAAAATGTTTCCATTCCAGTCTGTGAAAATAATAATATTATAATAATGGTGATTAAGGTAACATCATTCGCACTCTGTGCTGCAACTCAAACTAGACTAAGGTATTTGAATCCAACTAGCCTTCCTCCGATTGTGGTTGAAATTAAAACAACTTACACTTCATGGTTTAATTCTCTGCTGTTTCAAATTTGGACAAGCATCTCCTGTGACAACTGACACTGGTGTAGCACCTTTCACATAAAAATCTGGAAGCTGCTTACAAAATTAACTAGAAATTAAGTCAGTGTTGTCATTCGGCAAATGCAAAGGCTAATTCGCAAACATCAAAGAGGAATAGCTGANTTTTTTTGGAGAATTCGCATGAGATAAAATAAGATGAGATAACTGGGAGTAAACTGGCCAAAATTGAATTGTGCCAAATTAGATGCAGAAGTTCTGAAACCATAAGATAACATGAAAGATGCTTAATGAAATAAAATTAGTACTTTGACACTCATACTCTTATTATAACTATTGATTAAAGTTCTTCTGCTTGATTATTCGTATTCTTGCAAACTATAGGATTTTCAGTTCTTTGTGTTGTTTTAGTAAACTATGGGATGTTGGAATTGTTTATTTCTTAACTTAGGGAGGGTCACTATGACAAAGTTTGAGAACCGTTGGAATATAGATGCTTTATTTGACTTCAGTTTCCAGTTTACAAAGTTGTTTTGATATCTGTTCAGGGTAAGGCCAGTGCGATTAAAATACTGACATGGAAATACAATTTTTGCATTAATCTAATGCAAAGGTTATGTCTCCGTTCCAGTCTCTGAAAATGGTGATGAAGGTGCCATAATTTCACAAGCTGTGGAACAACGCAATCAGACAAAGGTGTTTAAAATAGTTAAATGCAAAAATTGGATTTCCATTCCTGGCTCTGAAAATGGTGATAAAGGTGACATCATTCACGTACTGTTATGCAACGCAAACCAGACTAAGATATTTGAATCCAAAAAGCCTTCCTCTTGTTGTAGTTAAAATCAAAACAACTTCAGTTTAATTCTGTGCTGTTTCAAATTTGGACAAGCATCTCCAGTAACAGCTGACACTTGTATAGCACCTTTCACACAAAAGTCTCGAAGCTCTTGATAAAATTAACTAGAAATGAAGTCAGCGTTGTCATTTGGCAAACGCAAGAGCTAATTTGCAAACATCAAAGAAGAATAGCTGATTTTCTTGGGATTTTTGGAGAATTTGGATGCGGAAGATAAAATAAAATGAGATAACTGGCAGAAAACTGGCATTCTTTGTTAAAATAGCTTCGGAGATTAGGAGCAGAAACTTTAGCTGATTTCTCTCATTGCACCCACCGAGCACCAGGGCACAGAACCCGTTATCACACCAGCATTGACATCTGGCTGAAATTGCCTAATTGAGCAGACTCAATGAATGAAGCCTAGAAACTCGCTAGTCTGTACGATGCGGAACCTCAGCAAACTCTGCATTTACCCTTTGAGGCATCAGTGGAGACGTCTTAAATGTTGATTTTTCCTGAAAAAAAATATTCGCACAGGCATGTGCGCTGTGTCCACAGGCACGAGTAATGTTGCCATGGAATTGCCTTGTTGAGGATATGCAACATAAGCAAAACCACACATTTCAAAACTCCAAATCACCTGTGGCGACGAGATGACACATTGCAAATAGTAGGCAAATCCACTTATTACCAGATCTCAAATAGATCTAAGAGGCTAACTCCTGACAAAATCATGCACCATTCACTGTGTAATATTAAGTTGACAGTATGGTATCTGTTATGATTGACTTAACTGGAGTGATCTTTAGTGCTCCCATTTTACAATGCGTCCATGTGTCTATGGTATATAAGTGATTAATATCTTTACTGACAATGAGTTATATTTACTGAAAACTGAAGAAACTTGGAGAAGCTGTTATAGAAGACAATTTACAGTAATGAACTGAAGCAAAGGAAGCCATGTTGATTTTTTTTTACTGGTGTGTCAGATAAAAGAGCACGCGTACGCTTAATAATATCATAAATAGGGATCTTAGTCATTTGGAAGTGCAATATATGGGAGGTACCTCAAAATAATGTAAAAGAATTTACGGAATGAATTTACTTGTCCAATAGAATTAAATGTGAATTGGGTAGATGAAGAACGCCCTCTAGGGCATTCTGAAATCTGTAGACTGTCTCTTGCCCCCGAATGACTGATACGAACAACATTTTTTCATGACTGAATTCTTCCTCGCGTTCTTTGGTTCATTTGTCCTACCAATGGTGGGGCGGGTGGGCTAGCTTTCAGCTATCCTGCCCGCTTTCTCTGGAACTCCATCCTCGAGTCCTTCCGACTCCTTCCCTCCCTTCGTTCAAGGCACACATCAAAATGTGCCTTTGGTCATCTTTCCCCTTCCCACACTATTCGACTCCCACCCACAGTGCAAGTACCCATCCAACACCGTGAAGCCCTTTGAGATGTCCTCCCGACACAAAAGCCACTAGATAAATGTAAATGTATTTCATATTTTTTTTCGTGTCAGTACTATTCTTTGCCTCAGTTTTGTTCCATTACCACTCCACTCTTGATACTGCTGCCTGTCGCTATCCTGTGGTTTCACAAGTACTTGCAAGCATCCGGTGGTTCATATAAGCAGTCATTCTCTACATATGAGCCTGGACAATGTAGCAGGCTATGTGTATGTGGGTGGGCATCACAACTGAGACTGATCGTGTGCACACTTCACAGTACGAGGGGGATATTTCTTGGTGATCAGTAGCAGGAACACTGGATGTGAGTAGCTTCTATTGCTGATGCCATGGTAACAAATATTTCTTACAAGCATTGAAGTCAAAAAATAGCAGCTGGAGACAACTGTCTGAAGCTTCAGTGTAAATTACAACGTTTTTATAGAAAAACGATTTTGTGTGACACGCAAGGTTAAGGCTATTATTAGAATATATTGTGTAGTGAGTCAGATTTGAGCTGCGTATAATAGTGTATGATTAATTATTAAAACATACAGCTTTTAGAGTTTTAGAATCTTGCATCACAATATGAGCATATCATGTATTGCTGAAATCTTCTATGGATTTTTTAAATATTTGCCAAACGCAATCATGATACCAATTTTTAAAAATCTCTTTTGATGTGAGTTTATTCAAGCCCAGAATACATTCTCTATTTTGTAAGGAGCACGAATATACATAAACAAGATGCTTTAGTACCAATTTACTAACGAACCTCAGGTCTTGTAAAATGAATAATGGTGTTTGGTTTGACAAAGATAATATAACCCACACTGCATTTAGCAAAACATAGAAACATTAGTTACTCCATTGTTATTAAGTGAAATATATTGCTGTAAGTGAATCCTTTTTGTGTGAATTGTTCCAAAACAAGATCTATATATGGTGCTTGAAGATTATACATGATTTACTTCTGTGTTAATTCAATAAATGGTACCAAAAGTTTTGCTCTATTCAAGAACTGTGTATTTATTGAACTGTTAACATCTCAGTTGCTTGAAGATCTATTATGGAGAAATAAAAGGGTTTTAGTTGCTTTAACTTAACAATAATAATAATAATATACAATAATCCTTGCACTTAATATAGTGCCTCATCACGTTTTGGAGACATCTCAAAACGCTCGGTGTGATTGTGCTTATTTTCTGAGTGAACTGGGCAGCCAATTTGCACACAGCATGTTCCACAAACAGTTATGGAGTGAATGACCAATTTTATTTGGGGGTTGCTGCCCAGGTTACCAAAACACTTTAAACAAAGAGTCTTAAAGAAAAACAGCTAAGCATAAGAACATACGAATTTGCTCGGTGAAAGAAGACCAAGTTACATCTAGTTCGCCTTCCACCATCCTGGCAGGCGCTTGACATGTCGTGTCCCAAACTATATACTGTAACCTGAGATATTATTTTCTAGCAGAAAGGCCAATGGCCTTTGTGATCAGTACAAGATAAGACATACTGCACAGTTAATAATAATAATAATCCTTGCATTTGATATAGCGCCTTATCACATTGTTGCGACGTCTCAAAGCATTTCACAAGATATACTGTAAAGTGGATTTGACTATGTATTTTGTGGGCAAAACCTTTGTGACAATGGCTCCTTGTAGATTTCCTTTTTAAATTTCTCGTGGCTGTGCTGAGCAAGGGGCGCCACCCTAGTTATACTCCGAACACAAATACGCACAATCAAAACACACTACTGAAACTACATTGTTTAAACCAAATCTTCGCAGACAATTAAAACAAACAGCTCAGTGATTCCGAAAAGAAAGAAACATGGGTCCAAGAAGTTAAGAAAGTTCATTTCAATCACATTTTTTTATTGAACGCTATGAGAAGTTAAGGCCTCAAACTGCAACCTCCATTCTGGCTTTTTAGGAGTTTAATACTTTTTTCTTGATGTTCTCCTTGACATTTCTCTCTCATATTCTGCCAGTGAGGGTATAAT